AACGCAGGCATCGGAAGGGAGACATGCAAGGTCCTTTTAAATAAAGGCGCAAAAGTCTACCTTGCGGCGCGTTCAAAGTCCAAAGCTGACGAGGCGATCGAATGGCTCAAGTCTGAGACAGGCGGAAAAGCGCCTGTGTTCCTGCAGCTCGACCTCGCAGACCTTGCCAGTGTCCGTCGTGCAGTAGACGAGTTTAAACAGTGCGTCCCCCCTCCTGCTTGTTACATGATTATATTCAATATACTAACGTATGGGTTTATTGTAGGAAAGAACAAAAGCTTGATGTTTTATTTAACAACGGCGGAGTCATGACACCCCCAATCGACATGAAGACATCTACAGGCTACGATATCCAGTTCGGAACCAACGTCCTCGGGCACTATCTATTCACAGTCCTCCTTCTCCCCGTCCTGATTCATACCGCTCAAACCAGTACGTGCCATTCCCTCTTTACGCCCCTCCCTTCCCCGTCCCTTTCGTTGGAGGCTAATAATGACGGCTGTACAGGCCCTCGTGGTCACGCACGCGTCGTAAACGTCGCAAGCAGTGGCCACTGGTTCGCACCCAAGGGCGGCGTTGACTACTCAACTCTTGTTCCCAATGACCCCACGTCAGAAGCGCGTCGGAGAAAGTTGGGAACACAGAGGCTATATGCGCAGAGTAAATGGGTATGTTGCGAATCCGAACATCCTTGAATCCCGTTCTTATGAGGCCGTCGCAAACAGGGTAACGTAGTTTTCGCAAATGAACTCGCGCGGCGGTATGAGTCGCAGGGGGTTATATCGACGTCTCTGCACCCTGGAGGGATCAAGACTGAGCTGCAACGACACTTGACACTAGGTAGTATTGCAGAGACTCTCCTGGTAGGTTTTTCCCGCTCCTATTTTTCAGCTGAGCTCAACGCTGTCCATGCGTTCCAGAACTCGCTCCTCTGGCCTGCCCCCTATGGCGCACTCACACAGCTATATGCTGGGACCACACCTGAAGGGAACAGGTTTTCCGGGCAGGTGAGGTTCTCCCGTAGGCCCATCTGAAGGTGATACTTATAGTCGCTCCACAGTATCTGATCCCCTGGGCAAGGCACTCCAAGTCACGCGCAGACACCTGGGATGAAGAAGCTGGGCGGAAGCTCTGGGCCTGGCTCGAAGAACAGGTCAAGTTGAACTAGGATGGGAAGCTTGGATTTGGGTTTCTGCTCTTACACCATTACAAGTCTCGAATTAATGATAGTTTTGTCTTAAATTCCGTGAAACACCGGCGAAGGTATAGGAAAGGAGCAGTGCAGCCCTATTAAAAAAGCATATAGTCGAAAACACCTCAACTAATACGAACGCACAACCAAGTCACCGACCGTCCAGACATTCTAAGAAATCCAACAAAATACAAGAGAGCGTGTTTCATACAGGCAGGACAGTGTTGAAGACGATGTCCCAGATTTTACCTACGTAAAAGAGACGTCAGCATTCCAGCATCGGGTCGTATAATATAGGGAAGGGTAGGGCGTGTGAAACTGGTATGCTCTGGTCTCGAACGATTTACGTGTTCGCCGGACACATACGGGGCACGTTACCCGACGTAGGACGGAGAGAGGAAAACTAAAAAGGAACATACTAGTGACACCAAACCCGAGCTCAAAGTTCTTGTAGTGATGGGCCAAGTGATACTTCTTCATCTCGCGCATGTACTCAGGGAGCTTAGTGTGATGCAGCGCGTAGTGCATGCAATCATAAAGAACGTCTATCAGAGGATTAGTATATATGCGTAAGTGGGAACGGTAGAAGAAACTCACAAAAAGCGAATGCACCCGAGATAATCCCGTTTGCAACTGCGACTGGGAACAGGAGATACGCCAGCCTGGTAAAGGGGAACGACAGCGCTGCAAACAGAATCGGCGGCATCACCAGCCTCAATCTAACCAACACAATTTCATAAGCACCATGCACATTCTGAGCGCTGACAACACTTACCGATCCATAGGCAGGTAGTGGTGAATGCCATGTAGCAAAAAGTGCAGCATCAAGAAGAACGGACGGTCCGGCAGCAGCTCGTCAATATGGAATAGGAATCGGTGCATGCCATACTCGATGATGGTCCAAAAAAGGTTTCCGAACAAGAAGCACACAGCAGTTTTCACGACGGCCGCGCGAGTGATTTCAACACCAAGGCCCAGGCCCAGGCCAAGTCCAACAGCACCTGGGGTGTACGCATGAGAATGAGAGAGCGTCGTGTTGGTCGTGGCTCCAACGATAGTCTGAGCGGTAGTCAAAAGACTAGGGACTGCGCCGGGTGCACTAAACTGCATCGCAGCCCTGACGAACAGCGCAGACGTGATCGGGATCCATATAATCGGCACGACGTACCACGATGTACGCGTGAAAACTTCGAGGTAGCTCGGCCCGAAGAGTCGTGCAGAATCCTTGAGATGTCGAGGCTGGTGGACCTGTTGGAGGTAAAAGTTTTTGGAAAAGTTGGATTCCCAGACTTGGCGCAGCAGTGGCCTGCGCAGGTCGAGGAACTGCGCTTTCTCGAAATCGGCTGCGGTATCCGTGTCATCTGGGTGAAAGTCGTCGGTCGCGACCCAGTCTACGCAGAAAAAAAATAGCGGAATGAGCGCGGGCCGTGAGAGAAAGAGCGGACGAGGCAACAACTCACCGTCGCTGACGACAGTCGCCTCACTCCCCAGGCGTCCAATCAAGTACTCCCCGAGCATCTCGTACGCCGACTCGGAATGGTCGTGCTCGTTCTTGTCAGCCATAGCGTCACCCAGATCTTTTCCCGCAAAACGGAGGATGAGGTCGTCTCCTCCTGGGTGGTCGGCCAAGAACGGAGTGACATCGTAGACCTTGCCGGCGCGCGACACCCAGCAGTCTGTCGAGCTTGCGTGGGCGGCGACATCGAGAGGAGTCAAAATACGGACGCGTTTCGTTAGGCCGGACATGGTCGTGGTGTGCTAGGAGTTCGCAGTGCGGCGATTTGGGTGCAATAGGGTCTACTCACGTGCAACCTCGAAATTCATTTTTGACCCGTCCCCGACTTTGATGGCTGCGGCGACAGCGACTAGACTGGCGCCAGTGCTGTATGGAAGGGCATTCGAGGAACGGTGCATTTCTCTACTCAAGTCGCGGTTGTCGATGACCCTCGCCAATGTCGGCGGGCCCTCAGACGGCGGGGTGGATTTGCAGGGCTGGTGGTGGCTCCCTCGACTTCCACCCGACAAGAGCAACGAACGGCGAAGAATACGTATTCTTGCTCAATGCAAAGCGTTTGACAAGAAGCTGGGGCCAGTTCACGTGCGTGAACTCGAGGGTGCGGCGCTGCTGCACTATCATACGGGCAGCGCGCAGCTCACGCAGTCCAACGACACTACCCCCAACAGCACCGCTATACCTGAGCCTGACAATGCACCGGACAGCACTTCTACAACGTCAGAGACGACCTCGGAGCTCATCGCGATCCTCATATCTCTCTCCGGTTTCTCCCCCATCGCTATCCGCCGCGCCATGGCGTCTCCTGTCCCCTTCCTACTTCTTCACCTCCCGCCTGCACCTACAGAGCCAGACTCTGACTCCGAGCCAACGCCCACCCTCGCCTCCATTATCTGGAACGCCAAACTTGGTTCAACGAGCGGGATCCTAGGCGGAAATATGGAGATCCGCCAGGAGCTGGGCAAAGTCGGTCACCCAGCCCTCTACTGGCGCGGCCAGAAGCTTAAACACTGGGTTCCAGAGCTCGAGCCGCCAGTGTCTACATCTCGCTTCGATCCTCCCGCTCAGTGACCTTGCCCGCCCATCATTACTGGCTCATTAAACAACCTCGATCAATTCATTCACCCACATATACCGACTCCATCCGACATACAACCACCGAAACCACACCAGCTGCGACCAATGTTCTTGCATCGCCCTCAGAGCAACCGCATACTCACCTATGCCCGACGCGTAGACCACCATTCCCTTGCCCGGCCAGATCGCACCTAGATAGCCCGTGTACTTGGCCAAGACGCCCGTCGTGTGTAAGGTCCATAAGCGAGTTTGAGGGGAGGATGTGCGAAGGAGCTGAGCGCTGTAGAATAGAGAGATATGGTTTGGGTGTGAAGAGATACCATGTATGTCGAATGTGATAACCTAGATTTGCGGATGCGTTAGTACGGACAACGTAGGATGGAGAGGATACAGAGAGGGTAGACAACCTACCGACGCAATCCCATGTTGATGCACATACTCCTCCACAATCTCCGCAACCAAAGAAGCGTTCCACGCACGCTTAATATCGTCCTGCAGCTCTCTAAACCACCTTCAGTCTTTCTCAGTCAACAACGAAAACGTACCACGACTCACGGGTGGTCTATTACCTCAACCTTCCCCTCCTCCACTCCCAGCACTCCATAACTCCTCACGAGCTCATCCCCCCTCACAAGCCCCAGTCCATCGGCATTCCCTGCCCAATTAAACCCGTTTAGTGAGAAGGGCCAACAGCAAAACGCGACCGGGCGAGGCTTACCAACGCTCAGACAAAGCCCGTGCACCTCTTTTCCAGCATTCCTCAGCCCCAGCACGCTGGGTGCGAAAAACATACATTCATCGTCTGGATGTGCTGTGAGGAACAATATTGGGCTTGGGATATCTACAATACGGTTTGGAATTAAAAACAGTTTCCGAACTAGAGAGCTAGGAAAGACATGCCTGCACGAGTGGGGAGCACTTTTGCCGATTTCAAGAGGAAAAGTAATATCAAAACAGCGAGAGAGGGAAGAAACAAGCTGCGGCGTCGCGTCATTTTGGCATAAACCTCACACGCAGTTCGAAAATAACTAAGAACGCGACCAGTTTTCAAGTTGACTTGTAGAACACAAGTAAAGGATGAAAAATCCAATTCCTCGCATAAGCAGCATAGCCACACGAAAGCGCTGGGCGTCCGATGCCTTGCTGGGCATTGAACCACCTCGTCACAATACACCAAAGAGTCTCCTCGCTCACTGGCAAGACGACCCAAACGATAATTAAACAAGTCCAGATTTGAATTGGAGACTTCTCGCAGCTTAAGTAATCACAACTGCTGAGCGAGCGCGCTACCAACTGCGCTACATGCCCCTGCACAATGGCTCATCTGGGTAAACCTCTTCAGAAAGTGCCTTAAAATCGTGACGATCCGATTGAGAGGTGTTTATTAATTTCCAAGATTTTTTGGACATACACGAAGAAGAAGAAAAAAAACAAGCCTTATGGTAACCTGCTCAGTCGACTTCCCACTTGTCCGACTCGACCTGCTGGAAGTCATATGCGTTCCCATAAGCTCTTCCGAGATAGCTGATCGGAGCGTCAACAAAGTTGGTTGGCATCTCTAGGTCGGGATGCTGAAGCATCTGCTCCATGCCTTTTGGGAACTCCATTTTCACTGTATAATCTGTTAGCCGACCCGCACGAGCCAAGAACAAAGCGCCCATACTTTGATTCATATACCACGGCGCAAAGTCTAAGGTGCTTTATTCAGAATTTATGTTGGGGTGAGTACTCAATCACTCACGAATCTGAGCCAACATGACCCTCGGATCGTCAGTCTTGTTTGGCATTCCTGCGTGCCACAGTCTCAAATCTCGCAGGATGATTGAGCCTACCATTTCAATCCATCTATTAATACCGGTTTGCCCCCTATCCTTTGATGCACGTACCTTTAGGTACCACTGGCTGAAACGGTGGAGACACTTTCCTCCGCTCTTCCATGAGCTCAGCTTTGATACGACCCGATGCACGGTCGCCATGTAGCCCATCCTGGGCGTTGAGATTTGCCATCGAGTGAGTCCCGAGCCAGATTTCTACAGGTCTGTAAGTTATAGTAAATGGGCATTCCACGAGGTCAATTACCAGTCGACCCGTTTTCGGGCGCCATATCGACCTAGAGTTGAGAATTTTGCTTCAGCTGGGCAACACAAAGCTAGAGTATAAACTTACCAGTCCGCAATTCACAACAAGAGCAAACGGAACCTGATAGCTGTTATGGCAGCCTGAATCACAAATCAACGGAAATGCTTACAGCAGGCTGAGCGAAATCAGCGTCAGTATGTACAGGCTGACGTTCCGTCGCCTTCAATGCCGTATTCTACACAAACTGACAGTCAGTTGTCACCTGAATAGATATAAATACCGTACTCACCCCACTGCAAAAGGTCATTTTAGGCCTTGGCCCCAGCGCAGCATTGCTCACTTGGAGCGCGAACGGATTAAGGAACACATCTTTAAAGAAGAGACCCGGCTCTGGCGGGGGATCCTGCTGTACGTTTCCTGTGCGGTCATTCGTATATGTGAGATATTTCTTGCTTGAATGAGCGGGAAAGCAAACCTCGGTTGTAGTTGTATGGTCCATCCTTCATATCGCGTAATTTGTAGGCGTCTGGTACCATTCGCGAGTTCAGCTACACCACAAACAATCAGTCGCACCTAATAACTGAGCGAGTTTTGGCTTACAGCATCCAATTCGCGCTCTCCCACAACCCCTTCGATGGCGACTATGCCATCCTCTTGAAGGGCCTCTAGCGCCAGGCGAACATTCCGCGGGCCGAGCTTCCGTGCCGTGAGCTCGGCAGGCGATGGTTTGAGCGACCGCAGTAAAGGCGTGACGGGTGAGGCATGAGTTGCAAGTGTGCGAGCGCGAGCGACACGCAAGAAAAAAGGTTTGGAGGAGGCCTGTAGGATACGAGGCGATGTACGAGTGCGAGTCGCACGAAGCAGAGTCGGAGTAAGTCGATGCATCGTGGTGGTTGGATGCAAGAATCAAAACGCCGGTGTGCTGTGGCAGGGTTAAACCCGAAGGAAGCGGTCACAGGATCAATGGGAGTATTGTTCGTGAACGCTTGAGCACGTCCTGAGGTGCAGAAATGAGGTCTAAGAGTTGTTGATTATATACAACAAGCAAACCTGCTCGTATGCGCGTTCTCGAGTCATAGCGGGGCTGAGGGTCATCACCTCAAAACACCAAACAAATCCAAGTAACGGGCGTACCCCAACGTTGATTGATATTCGGCGGCCTGGCCTGAGCAGATCGGGCAGGATAACGCATGTATAACTGATTTGACTCGAACTTCGAGAAAGAAGTGGTATGTTCTATTGGAAGGCGAGTCCTTAGCTTGGATATCAAATGGTGAAATTTACGGGTCGGAGCAGAAGCACACAACGACAAATATCTATTTTTCGAAGGTAAAATTATTCCAGGCATTTAACAGAGCTCTAGACGGGCTGTACGCATAAGGAACAAGTGTAATTAAACCAAACCCCCGCTTAAGCCAGGCTTCAATCATCATGATTCCAGGAACCACCACCCAGAGGAATACCCACAGCTTCATGAGAAAATGGGTGAGTATAGAAGTCGGGAGGCTGTATGTGCTGGGAAATTTCCTTCCTTTGGCCGTCGAACCACTATCTTTTACGGTGCCTTTGTCCTTATTTTTAGTCGCCTGGTCCAGCCCGAGTAGGCCCTCAATTATTACCCCAACCCCCTGGATCAGAAAATAGCCAGTTACCCGTCGAAAGTCCATGCCTTGCCCCATGCTCCACATGCCGAAATCATGTATCAACCCGGAAACAAGAAAGGAGCCCATCACGTAGCCGATACGCAAGCCTAGCAAGCGTGCTTGGTTGTTACGGTTGGTTTTATGAGCTGAGAAGAGCCCGACGAGCTTGCCGGTTGCTTGACCAACATATCCTCCTATCACCCCTCCGGGCTTCCCACCAGCAACCAAAAAACCACGCTTCGGGGTGTTTTGCCATCTCTTTGACCAAAATTCTCGCAACGAAGTTGCTCTAGAGGGGTGATCAAACAACGGCGGCCACTCGTTTTTTAATAGGGATGCAGGTCGCGAGTGAGGCGAAATTGATGGAGGGAGCCATGTTAGAGGCGCAGCCAGCAGCGTGGTCACGTAGTTTTCAAACTCCAGCCCGTTCTTGACCAGCAGTCCAACAGCAACAGTTAACGGAAGTGCGCCAAGAAGTGGGTGGGGGAGGCGGATGTTGTAGCTGCTAGTAACAGCGAACGTGTCTTGGAGGATAGTGCCGCTTTGGGACGATCCAGATGTATTTGTGTTCGTGATAAATGCAAGCAGGGCGTCAATATACAAGCCGTGCTTGAAGATGAGTCTAAGAGTGTCCGCGTAGAACTCGGCATGCGAACCGTCGCGTCGCGCGTCCTCTGGGGTATGACATGTGCCGTAATTGTTCCAGTGCTGGACAAGCAGGAACAGTCAGGTTGAGTGAATCATAAGTTTGAAGTTTGAGATCGTACCCGACATCTGAGATCGGTAAGGTAACTAACAGTGTTCACTGCACATTTCCTGCAGAGTATGGACTGTCGCGAACAGGCTGTGCGGCCGTGATACTTGGGTGGTGTATCCAAAGTCGCCAGCTCGATTAACTTTATCGCCGCAGAGATTCCGACAGCGCAAATCCCAAAGTTAACCGAGGTAAGACTAGGGTCGGAAATGGCAAAGTTTGTGCACAACGACCAGATAGACCAGAGGGCGACTGGGATCAACCAGATGCGAAGGTGGAACAGCCTCGGGTTCACAGTGAGGTAGGCAGTCAGGAGAAAGCATAGTTGGCATATCAGAACCGGTTTTGCAGTCAACTCCTGTCGGGCATTGACCTAGAGAGAGGTTAGAAGTTTGACCTAGGAACAGTCGGATTGACTTACGTCTGGACCCATCGCAGAGTCGAAGCCGGTGTTTGTTTCTGGGAAACTATCAAGTACTAAAAATACAACGCGGAAATGAATGAGACAGGCTTTGTGCGGTTCAAGAATACCCCAATTCGACGGGGGGAGATTAGACGATTGGGAGTATTAAGCTTACATACCGCGCGCGGAGAGACGAGGACCAGTCGACGCGGGAGCGAATAGGTGGCTATAAACGCAAAGCACCAGAGCGCGGGCGAGGTTAAGTTCTGTTTCAAGTTTTCACTCAATTGACCGGCGTTACACGTGTGTCACGGTCCATTCAGTTGAAGTCCATCAAGTTGCATTATTATAAATACCAGCGTCATGGGCGCATCCTGTCGTAGGATGAACATTAGACGACCTCTTCTCGCTTTGACTTGATATATTCGAGGGTACATCCCATTGCGGATGCTACCGACGGCGCGCCACACGGTGATTTGTTTAACATTCGTATACAACGTAGTTATCCGATGCCCACTTAAACACATAAACGAAAGGAACGGAGAAAAAAATAGAACACGTTCGGGTTCGCTACTCCGGCCGATACAAGTCCAGATTTGATCTACACACCCGCATTGTTTAGTCTCCTCGTATTATCCAATCGACTGGCTGACCTCAGTTTCCCGCCTCGCCACATTGTGTGTACTTTGTCTCCAGTTTTTACATTGTACATTCGTGTCTGGTCAGCTTGAGTGAATAGCTGTGGTGGTCGGCCAAATACTTTCTCCATCTGCTCGAGTAGTTCGTCCGGAATCGATTCTTTGGGGCAGCTATCGAACCCAAGCACGAACACGAAACCGCCTTTGTCGCCAATTCTGGCAGATATCAAGCGCAGAGGACCATAGACCTCCATTCGATAATATATCTCTTTGGCCATTGGCATAGATGCAGCATAGCCAGGTTGGTCCGCCCACGGGTAGTCATGATCCACAGCACTAGCGGTGAGGTTGTCGCTGGAAGAGAAGTAGCCATAAAAGTGCTTTGGCATTCCGAGGCGGTTGTGGTGAACGCGTGGTCACGTGGTATTTTTGTTCAGCTCTGCCTGTGATTCGCCGCGGTCCGGGCTTGTTGAGACGTGCTCAATCTCTCGTTCACCTGCTCAAACTTCACACGTTCCACCCCCCTTGCCCTGGCAGAGGGTAAGTATTAGACGGCCTCTTCTGAAACTCTGCCTAGTCTGCAGACTCGGTGTATTTGAGGGTGCGACAAGACAACTATACAAGTACATCATGCATGCTACTGACGGCGCACCATAAACTCACAATCGCATAATCTTTGTGACCCTTGTAGTCAACCCTCCAAGGGCTGTCGCAACACCATACTTCCCACAAATAGCGCAGTTAACCTCCCTGAGCCCGTACCCACTATATGCGCTCTTCATCGCAGCCTC